TATTAACTACACAAGGTGCCAGTTACTGTAGCATTCGTCAACTTTGCATAATCGATGGTCGAATTATGCCTTTAAGCAGCATTCATTAAGTTAGCATTTGAAATGCTACGTGGTTAATCAGGATGCACACGTGCACCATGTTGCAATGTTAGTCATGAGAAGATCTGGATATATGAGGGTTGTACATGCAGCTGAAAGTGTACGTGTAGAATATACGCACCTACGTTCAATTTATCAGTCTTGAATATAAGTGTGGCCCAACTGCATGGTGAGTTCGAAAATTTTTGTTTCTACTCTACGAGCTATATTGTAAAATCCATAAAAATGAGCCAGTCCTGCTCAAAAATTACTGGTCCTAGACCAGGGTACGGTGAGCTATTTCCTACACTGGATATTTTGCAACAGCTAGTGAAATATCTGAAGTTGCCATGGAGAAAAAAAAGAATCGTGTGCTTGCATGCCGCGTACGCAAAACATAACAAGCAAAAAAGTTGGAAACTGTGTGTGTGTGTTATTCTAGTTGCTGACCATCTGTAGCTGGGGCTTCTCCATATGCGCCACGTGTCCCTGCATGCACATCAACAGGCGTCCCATCGTGAAGTGCCTCTATAGTATAAAGGTAGAGACCGCTCAGAAGGGCGTGTTACCGCACAAGAAAACGTTGCTGTGCGCCCATCTTTGGAAGAAAGAAAAACTCATGTTTTTATACTGCTGTGGTAAGATCTATCCAGCAAATCTAAAGTCAGAAACGGAGTTACTTCAGTAACATACTCACGGAAATGCACCTGTGAACCGTGGCACAATTTATTATAATTGACGACGGTAAAAATAAATCAAGGAATTATTGTTAACAGTAATAATCCGATTAATTGTTATTTGCAGAAACAAATCAAAGAATTGCTGTAGGCTTAAAGTTATATACATATAATACACTTACACGTGTTGAAGGTGACTTCCCAATTAAATCATGCAATTTCAAACATAAAATCTGGCAAAAGTTATAGTTATTCGAATGTTGTGCGTTTATACTTGTCATACCTATCTATGGCAAGCACAACTGCTCAGTGCACAAATGCTCAGGATTACATTTATTAGAAATTTTTTACGAAATGAACGAACATAAGAATGAGAAGTATGAGTGTAGAAATGAACGTCATATATATATTGTTTTGTAATCACCGTTTCCCATTTAATTCTCCCATCACTTTCATTGGTTCACGATACGAATTGTTCTCAGTACTCTTGTTCCAAGTACTCATTGATTCCAAGTTCCTGATTCCCATTGTTCCTCATATTCCTTGTTTCTGATAATCATTGATTCTCATTGTCTCTGAGAGGTGTCGCAGCTGATGCCATGTAAATGCAATATAAGCTTACCCCTATTATTTGTAACCACATTTGAATGCAGATGACTCTCCGATCTGATTTATTATCGACTTGCTACTCGTTTTTACCGTTTCTTCAAAAGCTTCCAAGCTCTGACATTCACGTGTAGTTTCTGATTTATGTGGTTTTTAATATGATGTGTTACAAGCTAGTAGCATTCATACGTATGCGGGAAGGCACCTTCAAATAATCACCGTGATAAAAATAATCAATGAGAAAAACTTTTCCCAAATTCCTCTGCTGCTATTGCTTCACGAGGCGTTTAGATGAGTTGATTAAAATAATGGTGTTTGTCGACCATTTTGTTGTGTCCGCGTAAAAGCATCGGCGTGGCGCGCTGCAATATTAATGATATATATATATATAATATTATGTATATATAATTATACATATATATATATATATGTTAATGAGCCGAGACTCTATCTTGCCGAGCACAGCGTTCGCACCTTCGATAGCGGACAGAGTCTCGCGACGGACGAATATGATTTCGCTGATCGATTGATCTGCCAATTAGGTACTCGAACGCGCCTGGCCGTGTGTCCTTGGCAAACGCATCTTTTGGCGTGCGCGATCAGCTGGCGGTGGCAGCTGAGAGGCTAGGGCTGGCCGGCATGATCAAGGCTCTTGTCGCGCGGCGCGTGGTGTGATGGCCCTGACCGCATGAGCGGGGCAGGATGGGGAGGGGAGGGGGCAACCAATGGTACGCCGCTACCACCAATTTCTCGTCAACTTACTCGGTTCTACCGAAGTCTAAGGTATATATATATATATTCTTCTCTATATATAGTATTTTGTGGGAAATTTTAAACCAGCAGCTGGCTAATAAACGTGTGTTTGTGCGTGCGTGCGTGTTTGTGTGTGCGTGCGTGCGTGCGTGCGTGCGTGTGTGTGTGTGCGTGTGTGTGTGCGTGCGCGTGTGTGTGCGTGAGCGTGTGCGTGCGTGATGCTGATGCTACAGGTTTTAAAATCTAGCGGGGTACTAGGGGTGACTTTGTCCTCAACATGTCAGTTGTCTGATGCACGGATTAAATCATTCATTATGCATCCAATGACGTCACTGATTCTAGTACCAGACTCAAATGCACGTATGAGTGTTGAGCGTTTAGCTACTTGGTAGTGTTTCAGACAACCTTGATTGATGATCATGGTGATTTGTTGATATAAACACACTGCAAATAGAAGAGCTTAGATTCACGTCACTGCATGCCGCGTCTGCTATTTAGATTCTCATGTTAGAATCAAAAGCTTCACTTGCAGAAGTTGTCTGGATATTGTCTGTGGACTCTCGGGAGTCGATTAGACTGTAATAGCTAGCCGGTCGATTGCGCAGTCTCAAACCTGAAACCGATCCGACGTCACAGTAAGCCAGCTCCCCGATAACTTAATCAGAAAAATGACGGGGTTTTGTGGGAGTTTTAACACGGGTTACGTGTCACTATTGTGAGCGTACGGTAGCGAGTGATCGTATAGTTGTTAATGATAGAAATATATCGGTAAACGTATAGTGGACCAAACCCACGGCGTACTATACCTATATTTCACGAGAGAACGCTGAGCAAGCAACTGGCTGTACGCAAGCGAATCGGATGTTAAAGTTGAGTCGACACAATGTAAAAATGGAGGTCAGCGAATGACAAACACGATACTGCACTTACTCTCCCCGCAACATGTATTTCTCTTGCAACAACACACATGGCACATACACACGGCCAATCCGCTAGTAGAGTAGTCAAGCAGTCGCTATTTCTCGCCCCGTGTAGATACTAGCTAGAAGTTTGACTCCATGTTAATACTTACAGCCGATGATGTAGCCGACTTCCTTTCTAAAAGTAAAGGATGCTATTGTAAGTAGCTGGAGTGACGTCGACGTCACGTGTGTGTGTGTGTGTGTCTGTATGCTGCCCCCCTTATCCCCTGTCAACTAACAATGCTAGTGTAATGCTACACGAGTTTTACTAACGTTGAAGAAGCAAGTTTAGCGTATCAACGCTAACAGCATTGGACACTAACAGTTAAACATTTACCCCTCCCCCCCCCGGCTATTAATTTCGAATCTTCGGCGTCTTTTTGTGCATTTGTTTGTGTAATGGCGATACTCTTGCGGAGTGACTGACTTACTGCGGTATGTGCATAAGTTGCGCGTACAAAGCGTTCCACGAACTTGTATTTGTTTAACAAAAACGCTGAGTTGGCAGAGGCAAACCAGGCATGCTCGTAGTACATGCGTTAAACCTGCATTTTGGATAGTTTTCACGTTGCCTCGTTTGTTGCCAACATATACTCGCGGTGTCGTGGGAAAAGATGTTGTCGTTTATCGATCCACTATTAATGTGCATTTTTCGTATTGTCTCTGCAGTTTTATTGCAAGGAAATGTTTCCATGATCGTCCTTATAGTAATAAGTATATAGTAAGTGTAGGACTTGATTGTATTTGTTTGATTGTATACGTACTCCTTCGCGTTAATGATGCCTTCCATAATTTTGCAAGAAATCAGTGTGATATAATCAACCAAATAAATAAATAAATGCTTATATCGTTTGTTTGTTTCAACAAAATACGATATAATGTTATTCACTGGAGGTTTGGGTAATCACAATTTTAGTGTAGACAGGTCACACGAACTATTGACTGCTGTCACTATAAATCTTGAAAATTCAAGTATTACTTACTACGAATAGTTACTGTTAATAGTAAAAATATCTGGGTTGGTTCCTTGGTTAATTACTGTGTCATTTACACGTCCCATTCACTGAATAGCTAATAGCTAAATTATACTAGAAATAACAAAATTAAGTATTACTTCTGATATTTATCATTAATAGTAAAACATATATCATGATCACTGGCTGCTTTGTTTACTTTCCACGTTTATTTTACGATTGGCAGTGTACAAATTGATCTCTGGAAGGCATCTTTAACTAACCATAATACGGCTTTATAGCAGGTTCGTGAAGCTGAAAATGAGAACAGCTGCTGTTTGTTGTTTGTTATTGGAAAGGTTATATATATACATTAGCCTCACATAGTGATACGTGAGATCAGAAGTAGATAATAGGGACACCCCCTAGAGAATAGAATTCCCTATTATCTACTTCTGTTGAGATGTCTTAAATCCACCCCGTACTGAAGTAAGTAGAAATATATAGCATGAGCGTTGATTCTATGCCACGTGTACACAGTGCACACGTGCGTGTATGTGTGTGTGTGCGCGTGCGCGTACGCGTGCGTGCGTGTGTGTGTGTGTACATGCGCGGGCGCATGCGTGTGTGTGTGTGCATGCGCGTGCACGTACGTGTGTGTGTGCATGCGCGTGCGTGTGTGTGCGCGTACGTGCGTGTGTGTGTGTGCATGCACGTGCGCGTGCGTGTGTGTGTGAGCATGAGCATGTTACTATGTATTTTTGCCGTGCTGGTTGACTATAGCCTCAATCAGCTTGTGAATCTCTTCACTTTCAGAGTCGGGTCTCACCTCACATCGTTAACTGTGCAAAAGCGTTATACTTATAGTCCTATATTTTAACACTTGTCCTTCGCCAGCAAAGAACTTAATGTCTGTATTTATTGTTACTATATAGTATATGTGTGTGTGTGTTTCCGCAGTTATATGTGAGTACGTGTGCTGCATGCACACCATTTTTATGGACTCGTTGAACGAAACGGTCTTTATTAACCCTCACGTAGTGCATAAGAATGTCTATTTGCATTTCCTAACTGTCATGCATGATGACTTTGCTAAATCTTATAAAACCTTGTATTTTATTTACGCGTTTTAGAGATGTTAGAGAGAATTTCATTTTGCCACGTGGCTTCAAGTTTTTGTGTTGTATTGAGCATTCTCTGGTAGAATTTATTGCCTTCTATCCACAGCACATTGATAGACAGCTTAGTATGTCAAATGTAGTGCATTAATAAATATTGCTGGCAAAATCGCATTTGCTGTGTGCTTGGCTTATTATGTGCAACGTTTGTCATGCATCATTCGAATTCTTTTCTAGTTAAAGAATTCTTAGAGCTGGCACAGAAAGACTTCAAAGAAAGATGGGAGGCTCAACCAGTCGTAAGTTTTGGCAAGCTATAGATATTCGTTGTTTTGTCTAGAGTCCTTACTTTAAATGTCTACCTTCCAGTGCATGCTTCCTTTACATATATACTTTATCATCATGTTGGAACCTTAATTGTGTTGGGTTGGAGGGTGACAGGCTAGAAGTGTCTGGGCTTTAAATTTAAAATTAACCTTTAAATTAAATGGTTACCAGTAAGCAAGACGCATTACCGATGCAACTTCTTGCGATCGCAAAGAATGGGATAGGCTCATAATAAAAATACCGATGAGAATCTGGGGAGTATATATAAATTCATCAGTTGTTTTGACTTGGTATTGATAAATGCTACGTTGGCTGGTGTTGTGTGATTGGTCGTTGGGTGGCCGGGCCGGCAGAGACCAGCCAAAAAGTGGACGCTTCCAAATGCGATTACACGTAACTGTCGTAGAGTCGTTTCACCGCTGACACACTAATTAATTAACACCTGTTTATTTTGAATTGGTTAAGAGTTCAGCCAAATTGGACGACTTCCATCGACTGAAGACGTTGGGAACGGGTTCGTTTGGCCGGGTCATGCTAGTGCAACACAAGCAGACGAAGAAATATGCCGCCATGAAGATTCTTGACAAGCAGAAGGTAATTGTGTCAAACGTGCCGCGCACTCGTCACATTTTCAAGTTACTGCATTTCTTATGGATTATATAAAGGCGCTCTGGTGCGTTATACGAACCCCCAAGTTTAGAAGGTAGTAACCTTAAAGAGGTTTTACTGCATGATAGCGGTCTCTAATATCAGGTATATACTCGCTGAAAATACGGTCATGCCCTTGTAGTTTTTAAATGTTTTTACCCTTTAGATTTCCTTTATTTTACAAGGGCCCTCCTCACTATCAGCATTGGTTAATATATATGCTCTAAGCTATTCTGCTGAGAAGTCTAATATACCGCACTGTAGCTAACAAATCTTGGTTATAATAATGTGTTTGGATACATTTTCAGAGGAAAAATGCATCTTATAAGCCTCAAAATTTAGTACTGTTGACCGTCAGTGCCTTTTATATGACAACGCCTCACGACGTACTCGTATTGTATCTGCTAGGGACGCATTTGTGTTCTATGTGTGTATACATGAAAGGTTTTTAAATTGGAAAAGGACATCTATAAAGCTTACCGGTATCATTTACATTTATGCAGGAGTACACCATGTAGAATTGATTATATACTTGTGATTTATGCGATATGGTGAAACAATTATTTTCATTTTAATATAAATGAACGTTTAACGTATGCAGATGCGTTTAGAAATTGTACTGTCGTAAATTAAACAGAGATATTTAAGTCACAGTTAGGTTAAAGTGCATGTTTTCGTTCCTGGATAAAGCAGGTACATATAGTCACTCTGATGTAAAGGTACTGCTAACCTAGCTCTTCCACTAAATATTGTGACCTCACAAGCCAAATGAATACCATACTGATCGTTATTAATCTTACTACGTTACTAGGTGACATGCTAGCATAAAATCTCAGCCTCTACCTGAAAAAAAGGATTGTTGAGATTTTTTGCATACAAAATAAGTACTTTTAACACAAATCAAATAACTAAATTCATTACCAATGGAAATTTTTTAGATGCTTGAAAAAATATACAACATTCAAGCTAGTTGACGTTCTTCTGGAAAAGAGGTGTGAGCATTAGTGCTGTAATTTATTTTAAGAGAGATGTAATAAAGGAAAAGTAGTTTATTCATTTTGCCATTTACTCTTTGGTGGTACCTAGGATTTAAAAAAAACGCGATAGCATAAATCTCATCGTATTTCTCAGAGCATGATCACCTACACATCTGTCTAATGTGAATTTCAAGATCCCACTACGGTATTGATTTGAGGGTTTTAGTGGCAGTGGTGGTGTAGTTGAGCGTGAATTAGTACATTTTTTGCATCGATTTTTTTGCATTTGGTGCATTTATTTCCTAGGTTTCATTGGTTTAAATCAATTTTAATCATGATCTGGGCCCTGGTTAATTAAATACTGAACGTGCCATGAATCCATGCAGGTGTGAAGTGCAGGTGTGTTTCACAGCATCGCACTTACTATGTATTGTTTATATATGTGTCTGTTGTTTGTCATGACATGACAGTGTGAATGGTAGGTGCGGGCTGCAGGCTGCTGATTCATATTACCGGAAGTAGATAATCTACATCTGATATTACCTGTAGATAGCAGATACACGTGTCCGTGTTAATGCTGCCATCCGTCAATAAATAACCACACAGGCCAATGCATTTTCTTCTGCGCACATTGCGCAATTTAGTAACTAATGATGAACTTATCACCCTTTTGACATTACACAATTTTTGAGATTATAGTGCGTTCAATAATTACAGTAAAAAATTTTGAATGAAAAATCGAATTTGAAATCGCTGCATAAAAACCGTGTGTACTATACTAGCTTCAAAATCACATTGATTCAGATCAGGCTCTTTAGCGAAGAGGAATTCTTTGGAATATCAATGATATCTGTGTAGCTGTGCCCGGCTGTCCCATGGGAGCAGACGTGCACTGGCAATAACTGCGTAAATACGAAAAAACATGCTCGTAAATTCATCCGAACGTGCGATTGCATCTCACCCTGACACTACCGCTATTAATATTGCAGGTGGTGAAGTTGAAACAGGTGGAACACACACTGAACGAGAAGAGGATTCTAAATTCCATTAAATTCCCGTTCCTCGTCAATCTAGAATATCATTTTAAGGTGAGTCGCTCGCGTGTCGTGTGGTTGATCTCTCCGATTCTTGCTAGTCATCAAATCGTCAGCCACGGTGTCTCTTGGTGTGATCTTCTATCGTAATACTGAGAAACCAGCATTTTTCACTTTTCGGTTGAAATTGTCTCGGGCAGTACTACCATGTTTTCATCGGTTCTGTAGCTGCATGCGGGGTGTCTTGACGTGGCTTCCTGTGTGAAGGGTCACGCTGATGCCACGTACGTACCCGTGTGCGAATTTCCTGTTGCCACGTCCATGTTTGGGTTAATGTTCCGTTGGTATTGGTGTTCGTGTACTTGTTCTGTTGCCATCCACAGTCGCATGTCACGTGTGTGTTCTGTTGTCATTGGTGTTCACGTGATTCTTCTGTTTCTATTCACGTTCACGTGTGATGCACATGTTCTGTTGCTATTAGTATTCGTACAGTTGCTCTGCATGCTTTCGTATATGTATATGTATGTATATGTTACGTATATGTATATGTATGTATATGTTACGTATATGTTTCTGTTAGCACTGGTGCGCACACGATTTTTCTGTTGATTCTGGTGCGAACTTTCGTTGTGTTAATTGCCATCCATGCTGACTTGTGTGCTAGTGTGTGATTTCAGGTACAACTGGTAACTGTGTGGACGTGGCTGAGAAGATCCACGTGTGCACCACGTGGATCAACCACTAATCATACTTTTCTTTCTCTTGTGTGCTCGAAATCCGCAGGACTGCACCAACCTGTACATGATTCTGGAATTTGTCGCCGGGGGAGAGATGTTCACGTATTTGCGGCGGAAGGGAAGATTTTCGTGAGTGCCTCTGGTGGCAGGTGTCTCCTAATGCTGTTTACTCCTCCATCCATCCCCGACATCAGTGGTCTGGCGTCTGCGTTTCTCAGTGGCACCAGATATGGAAGCGCCGCGTGCTGCAATCTCCTGGCTTTCCTGCCTGCAGTTTTGCTCGGCTATTGTGGCGAAGCGGTTTGCAAACCTTCGCGTCAAGTGGCTGTCTGGCTTTTATATATGGCGAGACTGCATTATGCGAAAACTTCATGCCACATCGATGTTGCCCTCGACAGTGTTATCTGAGGATCTGTATTAATAAACTTGAGGAAAAATGGCAGGAGAGAAGTGCTAACCTGTGCTATTCACTTCAAACGTTATAATGTCATAACTAAATATGATGGTTCTGACAACTGGCACCTGAGGCTGATTGGCAGACACATTATAAATGCCTACGACAATCCCCTGTCGTGGCTTTTGCACGCGTAAAGTCTTGCCCAAAAAAGTTACGTCATTTTAGACTAGTGATGTCATAACTATTCATGACATTTCTTATAACGAGCCTTCGAACGCCCGTTGTCAGAAACATCATAGACGGTTATGACATTGAAGGTCTACCACGAGAGAGCTGAGAACAGGGTAAGAGTGCGTGTGAGTAGCAATCACTGGCGATTCCACGATCGCGCGTGCCGGCCCGCAAGGACTACCGACGTCAGACACGGTGTCGTCTGCTCCCTCACACGAACCTCGCGTTCGTGCGCGTGTACTCCCGCTAAAATGCTTCCCGGTCGCTCCCATCTAACCTCTTCGGCGGCCATGTTTGTTCCGTAGACCGTCGATTTGGTTTTGTGAGCCGCGGCGAGTCGGAATAACCCCGTGGCTCGTGTAGGCCCTTACCTAGCAGGCTGTACACGTCTCACGAGCACTTGGAACATTTCAGAGAATAAAATAGAAGCGATGGTAAGAGTAAAAGTAAGTAAGTAAAGGTTATGAAGTCAAATTAGCTGTGTGCATGCTCCTATTTAATGATTCGTTTACTGTTCTACTGTTACCATGGCAGTGGAAGTGAAAACTAGGGAGACAAAAACAGTAGATGGGTGTACTTGATCGGAACTTATCTATGAATCTGTAGTTAGAATAATACAATATCTACATTTTATTGGAGCATAACTTGGAACCTATGTGTTTCGGCTGTCACAGTAGCCGGTGCCCAGTGCTCGAATAGGCGGTCATTTTTGCAATCAAAACCTTCCAATCAAAACCTTGCTTACAATCCCATTAAAATTGCACTGCCACTCACTGCAGTGTTACCGTTGACAAAAAACTGCCATGATTTCGGCATTACTTGGATCATTGCTAGCTGTAGCTCTATAGCTTATAGTGGCGTCCTGACCGATCAGCTGGTATCGTGTGGGGTATAGAGGCAGTGGGCCGCATAGAGGCGGTACAGGCCTCCCTCCCCCCTCTGACACACGCGTCTGCCGTATGATTTCATTCTCTGAGATGTTCCGAGTGCGCGTCGTAGCCGCTGAACAACTGGCCTCTATCGGTTATCAGCGATCTCTCCACTCCCCGCCTTATTCTTATTCTGTCTCTTACTTCTCACCTAACACGGAGATGTGGGGATTTTCTCTCCGGTCGCAGCTCGACCACTTACTAACTGTACCTGTTCTCGTCTTACTTTCAGGTGGCTATTGCCTGTCTCTACTCTCTACTATTCTTAGCCTTACGTTCCTTAGACGACGCTGGGGGGGTCGGGGGTCGGTGCACGTGTGATCTGGTTAGGGATCTGCATGCGTGCATGTTACAGGGGCGTATAGCAGTAAAGCAAGTGTAACACGTCCGTCGCTGTGGTAAATCGGTGCGCAGAACTGTCCTTGGGTTTACGTGTGTATCAGCGAGCAGATGCCGGGTGTAGGAACGTCCTACCAGGTGGGCTAAATTGCGTATTTTTGGTGAGGATCGAACAGTACAATGCGCTTGGGTAAAAGATCGCCTCCCTCCCATCTTCGCGTAGGCTAGCTGAAGCGGGTGCTTTGCGAAACCCATTCTAGGACGATTATTGCAACATGTTCGTTTAACCGTTGTGCAACGTAAGCATTTTCCCGTTTGAGACGAAATTCGACGGATGTGCTGCCTTCGATTTTGCAGTCGTCCGAATGCTCGCTTGTCGCCGCGTGCGTTGACAACATTTCGGCGTTACGCCAAGAAACCAGAAATCTCTCATTATGTTGACGACCCTTTCCCCTGGCCAGTTAGACTTGTACCTTTTCTACCGTTCTGCGGGGGATTTACTTATAAACAGGACCACTGCGCACGCACATACGTTCTCAATTGAAACACGCATTAGGAGAAGCCAAAAGACCGACAGGTCGTCATCGTTAACTTTTGAAATCTTCGCGATGACGTCACCACAGGGAGGGGCATTGGAGTCTGCCAGACGCACGTACGCATGCACGTGTGTACGCGCGCGCACACACACATATATATATATATATAGACACACACACACGCACGCACGCACGCACGCACGCACGCAC